TGAGTCAACCGCAGACAACAACTGGATGCAGCCATACATAGATTACCTAAAACACAACATCTTGCCAAGTGACAAAAGAGAAGCAAGGGCACTCCTGTCAAAGGTAACAAAGTTTTTATTAATTGATGATGTTTTGTTTAAACGTTCGAAGGCAGGACCATATCAGAGATGTTTAGCCCCACACGAAGCTGTCAAAGTACTGAGAAGTCTCCATGAAGGAGAATGTGGCAACCACGCGGCAGGAAGGAGTTTATCAAACAAAGCCTTGAGATTTGGCTATTATTGGCCAACGATGAGACATGACGCCATTGCATACACTCAAGCTTGTCAACCGTGCCAAAAGCATGCACCAGTGCAACACCAACATGCAGAAGCACTACATCCTGTCTTATCTCCATGGCCCTTCATGAAGTGGGGGATGGACATTGTAGGTAAGCTGCCCGAAGCACCCGGACAAAAGGTCTACATGTTGGCAATGACTGACTACTTCTCAAAGTGGATTGAAGCTGAACCTTTCCGACAAATCCGTGACACTCAGGTAATATCTTTTATCAAAAGAAATATTTTGAGCAGGTTTGGCATCCCGTCAGAGATCGTCTGCGACAATGGGTCACAGTTCATCAGCATCAAAACCAGACGATTCTGTGAGAAGTACAACATCAAACTAGAGATGTCGACACCACGCTATCCACAATCAAATGGACAAGCTGAGTCAAGCAACAAGATCATCATCTCGAATCTAAAGAAACGGTTGGAGAAAGCACAAGGAAAGTGGGCCGACGAGTTACCACTCATATTATGGGCAGACCGGACAACACCAAAAAATGCCACAGGACAAACGCCTTTTTCGTTGGTGTACAGATGCGAAGCTGTCATTCCAGTCGAAGTCGAAGTGCCAACATCCAGGTACGGACTTATCACAGAAGAAGCAAACAACGCAGAATTGGTTCACGATCTTGACACTATCGACGAATTGAGAGAAAGAGCTAAAGTACAAATGGCAGCCTACCAACAAAGGGTAGCAAGAAGCTATAACAAAGATGTCCGAGCCAAAGTATTCAAGAAAGGCGATTGGGTACTCAGAAATTCCTTTGGCAACGAAGCAAGTGGAAAATTCAGTCCCAACTGGGAAGGCCCATACCAGATTACAGATGTCGTCGGGCAGGGGGCATACCGTCTGACAAGCATTGACGGTAAACAAGTTCTAAGGAGCTGGAATGCGGTACACCTAAAGCCTTTCCACTTCTAATATAATTATCTACTTCAGTATTCATCTTATGTTTTTTTTGAATCTCTTACTAACTTGACCGTCGGAGGGCCGTTGGCCTCAAGCCAACGGCCAACAAAGTATTTGACTGAGTCACAGATTGACAACATCAAGCTAAATCCTATATGACAATATCATATAGACTTCTGATGACGACATTAAGTCAGCTGAATTAAGGTACTCGACAATAGATTGCTCTTATTTTATTTCAATGTCATCTTAATCTACTCACCCGCCTTGACAAATGAAAATACATCTGACTCCTTAGAGATAATACACACCTACAATCAATGTAAAAGTATTAGACTATTTTACTTTAGCATCGGAGGGCCGTTGGCTTCAAGCCAACGGCCAGGCCCCAGCTACGTGTCTGATTAGGTTGCAGACTAAAGGCGTCAAACCATTTACTGATAGACAACATGAAACTGAGTGGTGAATGACGACATCAAACTAAAAGTTAGACGACGACATCATTTAACTTCAAGTCCACCGAGATCGCCTAATCAGAACAGGAAAGTAAATAATGAAGCAAAGGATCAGGACACTATCAGGGTATGCAACAGCAATTTACTCACCCCTCACTTTAATATTTTCTTCATTTATTCACTTTGACAAGTGCAAAATTACTTTTGAAACATTAAGTTGAAATGACGTGAATTTGACTAAGTAGTTTCGCAATGTTGAGGACTAATTTTTTATACATACCTATTCACAATTACTGACTTAAGCATCGGAGGGCCGTTGGATTTTAGCCAACGGCCGACGTTAGCGAAATATTTATTGCACAGGTACAGTCAAGAATTGACGATGACGGAATCCTAACATACAAAGCCTTACAACACGTCAAGACACAATTGACGGGGGGCTTACAGAATTTTAGGGGAAGAAGTGGGGTTTTCATGTACGCTAAACATGAGTATAAACACCACCGATTCTCCACAATGTTTTGGCCAAAACAACAGACAGATCATACATCACAAATGCTGACAACATCAAAATCAGACAAACACAAAGCAACAACAGTACACGTACAAATGACATCGTCATGTGGAACAACAACCACATCCAAAACTACAAAAATACGCAACAGAAGTGTGACAACATTAGCTCCAAAAAGGAGACACTACGAACGACATGGATACAAATCATAAACACATGTTGACGATATTGATAAAATTACAAATGAAACGTTATTCAAAGTTTTTGCAGGTTATGGACTATGTTCACGCAACACAACTCGTCATCTTTAACGACGGATGATGTTCCCTTTGCCAGCTGAGGTGTCGACATCGACGTAATGCTGTTACAAATTTCTGTCATCTAACCGTCAACACAATGCTGGAGGGAAAGCATTTAAGTTAGACAAGTTGATCAATATGTGACGATGCAATGGACCAAGATGTGAAGTGTACTTTCAAATTTTCGACAAGTTGTTGCTGAAACAAGTCGACGGACGTGAGTATCATTCACCTCAACTTCTCGAAAAGGGGGCAATTGTTGGTACACGAGTTGGGCGGCCTTGACTACATTAAAAAATGGTTGACCGTGGCAATCAATGACGTATTCATTGGGATTAATGCTAGCTAATTAAATCTGGACAGTTTTATGTATATAATTAGAGTAGTTATTGTAATTATGACATAGGTTACTCAAAGGGCTGGCCAGAATTGATGATGCAATAATGACGATATTGATGTCGTCGTAACGGTCGGACATGTCGTCGTAACGGTCGGATCATGTCGTCAACGGACAAAAGTGCATTAAATGTATCTCTTATAAATATCTAGAGGCTCTATGTAATCAGGACATTCAGTGACGAATACACATACATTCAGTCTCTACATTGTAATTCAAAAGCATATTGTGAAGATCCTTCTTCTTGATCATCATATATCAAATTCCTTTCTTTACCAATTCTTCCATAGTTGATTCTATATTGCTTGATTCCCATTTTTTACTCCGTTCTAGGATAAACTATTTCTTGTTTAAACATATTGCATGCCCATAGTAGATTGGGACTTGGGAGCAATCTGTGAACGACCTCAAAATGCCACAAATTTAATCTAATACTATGTTTTGTCTGAATATAATTAACGTGTATAGCGAAAAACATAAAGTTTTTAAAAATGCTATGTATTAGAAATAACATACTATATAGTCTATAATCGAGAAAGCGGGTTTACATGTATAACTTTGTTGGTAACATATCAATTATATAGACATTACCTATACTCAATTATCTTATTAGAAATATATAGACTATATTGTCATGTTTTAATCTATAAATATATGCATCCTTCACATCAAATACTCTTTTCGTCCCTTGAATGTTTTCCCACTTACCTTTTTGAAACGTCCCAAAAATTCTTCACATTTCCCTTTTTGGAAAGCTTTGTGTTGCTAACATTAATTTATTTTTTCCTACTCAACCAATATCATACATTTTCAATTTATTCCCACATTCTTAAACTTCAATCGAAGTGAATTTGGGAAGAATTTTATGAGACGGGGGGAGTATCTACAAAATTGAAACAAATATTACTAACTCCAAACATGGAATGCCCGAACATGTATTGCAACATAAATATTTGATGTTTTCTTAGTATGAATTCAACGTATTGAATTTTTCAAAAGCCAACATGCACGCATTGTAGAATTATTGATTGCTACCACCAATCACAATAGGTAGCCAATTGTCGCTGCATCCACCTTCATTAAAAACTAGAATGTCACAAAAGTATACTATCTATATTCTAAACTCTTTTCTTAAAGAAAGAGACCGAAAGGCCAATTCTTAAACCTAGAAGGACTAATATGTTCAAGAAATGACTTCACCCGTTTTTAGGTAAATAAATAACAAAAATGTATAGTTAGTTTTGAAAAAATAGTAAGCTACTGATGAAATTTAATAAATAAAAATAGAAATTGAGCATATTTTTGTGTAGGCAAATATAGTTGAAAAGATTAATTTCATTTGGATGCAACTTAGAGATACAAAAAAATTGCTCTTTTCATTGAAAATTGCTCTGTTCATTGAAAAATATAGACCAAAAATATGTTTAGATAATTATTTCGAAAATAAGATGTTATATACAAACAATTAGTCATTTAACGGTATTTTATATCAACAGTAAATAACCATTGTTATGACTCACACCTAGCGTAGAAATCGTAGAATATGCATTACAAATCATTGTTATATCGACTAAATAAGTGATTTTTCATTAGTGAATTAGAAACCAAAATCATTTTATCATGTGCACGGCACGGGCACAAGTACTAGTAAAAAAAATACAGACACATTAAGGGTCTGTTTGCAACTGCTTTTAAAAAAGCACTTATCAGCTTTTGGCTTTAAAAAGCATTTATTTTCCCAAACACTACAACTTTTATTTTTCTCGGCTTCCGCGTCAAAAGTGCTTTTACTTTTTCTATTACACAAAAAGCACTTATTTTACCAAACACTACTCACTTTTACTTTTCAAAATCACTTTTTTCTCAAACACTATCAACTTTTATTTAATCACTTCTCCCCATTTCATTAAAAAAAGTACTTTTTCAAAAGCTGAAGCTGTTGAAAACAGACCCTAAAGGCTCGTAGGGCGGGCCAGAAACCGGGGAACCCCACTGGGACAGGCCCAATTATTTTGAAGGCCCGAAAAAAATACGGAGTAGTACTTCCGGAGTAGTAGTACACCAGCCCAGGAGCCTCAAGTAACAGAAAAACTCCAGAACGGAAGAGAAGCGGCCAAGCGGGAGTAAGCGTCTGAGCGACAAAGTCGACCGAGTGACCCAGCGGCGACGCCTCTTTCGCTGCCATCCCGCCACCGCGCCCCGCCTCCAGGTCCAGCCGTCCAGTGTTCCAGGCCCTCTGCAACTCTGCGTCTCTGCACTCTCCGGCGCTGCGCCACTGCGGCTCGCCAGCCGTCTAGGCCTTCAGCACCTCTGCGGCTCTACGTCTCTTCAGTCTTCCCCTCACGGCCTCACTGCCTCGTTATCCGTTACTCGGTAACCCGTATTCTGTAAGCAATTTTCTGTATTTTCTCAATTTAATTGCTATTTAGGTTGCTATTTATTTATTGAAGTTATTAAGTTATTCAATTGATTATAATTGTATTTAAAAATTAAAAAATTAGGTGGGTTCACTTGATTACAATTAATAAATTGGGGAGGATTCACTTGATTCACTTGTTTTTTGGATTTGTAGTTGTTTGTTAATAACTTGTCTTTTGACATTAATTTTTAATAATTTATTACTATTATCATATACACACACATATATATACATATGCATATATATGACAATGATCATGTAAGGTAGACATAAAATCACACTTTTAGGCCTCTTTCATTCTCTTTGATTTTAGTATGCTGTAGGATATTTCTTTTACTTTTGTATAGTAATAGGTTAATAGTTTCTGTCTGTGGGCATAGCCTGGAACATCAAATATACCTGATTAGGGTAATAGAGCTAAACTGATGGAGTCATAGATTTGACCATCACTCTTCCAGAATCGTTGAGAGATATTCTGTTATGCAACTAATCAACTATGCTATTCTGTTTTTTATGGGTTATTATAATTGTTTTTGATGATTTTTTCTGTGATAATTGGTCGCACAATGATTATAGGTGCATTAAAAAAGGCATCCCAGTTGATTATACCTGAACAGTCCCAGGCTTAACACAGGACTTGGTTGAGATTAAGAGCGGGTTTGGTTGCCATTTCTGGCTTATTAGTCTTCATATTAAAGCAACAATCAGAATAGACACAACAAGTAGTTTTTGACGTGCTTATTTGATTGATAAAATAGACTTAAGTAATTTAAGCAGATATGACCATTTCTGCTAAATAACTCTTGCCTAATGGGCACTAAGATTCAAATATAGAAATTGAGCCGAGAATTTGTGATTGTCTTGTAGGAGCATTGGAAGTGTAAAGTATAATTAATGGCTATTCCGAAAGAACTGTATCCATCAGAGAATGACCTCCCCTACGAGGAAGAGCTTCTGAGGAACCCATTCAGTTTGAAGTTATGGTGGCGCTACTTGGTGGCTCGAGCTGACTCCCCTTTCAAGAAGCGTTCCATCATCTATGAACGTGCCTTGAAAGCTCTCCCTGGAAGCTACAAGCTCTGGCATGCTTATCTTCGTGAACGCCTCGAAGTAGTCCGCAATCTTCCCGTCACTCACTCCCAATACCAAACACTAAACAACACCTTCGAGCGGGCTCTAGTCAGTATGCACAAGATGCCCCGTATTTGGATAATGTACTTGCAGACCTTAACAGAGCAGAAGCTGTTGACTCGGACTCGCCGCACCTTTGACCGTGCATTGTGCGCTTTGCCGGTTACTCAGCACGATCGGGTCTGGGCACCGTATCTTTATTTTGTCAGTCAGAAGGGGGTCCCGATCGAGACATCACTTCGGGTTTATAGGCGGTACTTGAAGTACGACCCCTCTCATATCGAGGATTTCATTGAGTTCTTGCTGAACTCAGAGTTATGGCAGGAGGCATCAGAGAGGTTGGCTGGAGTATTGAACGACGATCGGTTCTATTCAATTAAGGGAAAGACAAAGCATCGGCTGTGGTTGGAACTCTGTGACTTGCTGACTAAGCATTCTACAGAGGTGTCAGGGATGAATGTGGATGCAATCATCAGGGGAGGGATTAGAAAGTTCACAGATGAGGTTGGGAGTCTATGGACGTCCTTGGCAGATTATTACATCCATAGAAAGTTGTACGAGAAGGCAAGAGATGTATTTGAAGAGGGGATGACCACAGTAGTGACAGTGAGAGATTTCAGTGTAATTTTTGATGTGTATTCAAAGTTCGAGGAAAGTTTGCTGGCATCAAAGATGGATCAGATGAGTGAAAGTGAAGTGGATGATGATGATGATGAGGGCAATACTTTAAAAAGGGTGAAGGAGGAGGACGAGGAGGATGATCGACTAAGCATCGTAAAACTGGAGAAAAAGCTTAAAAATTTTTGGTTGAATGATGATAAGGATGTCGATTTGAGGCTGGCAAGGCTAGAGTATCTTATGGATAGAAGGCCAGAGCTTGCCAATAGTGTGCTTTTAAGACAAAACCCACATAACGTAGAACAATGGCATAGAAGGGTGAAACTTTTTGAAGGGAACCCGACGAGGCAGATACTGACTTATACAGAGGCGGTTAGAACAGTTGACCCAATGAAGGCTGTAGGGAAGCCACATACACTGTGGGTTGGATTTGCTAAACTGTATGAGAAGCACAAGGATGTTGCTAATGCTAGGGTGATATTTGACAAGGCGGTGCAGGTTAACTACAAGAGTGTGGACCATCTTGCTGCTGTCTGGTGTGAATGGGCTGAGATGGAACTAAGGCACAAAAATTTTAAACAAGCACTTGAGTTGATGAGGCGTGCTACTGCAGAACCGTCTGTTGAGGTCAAAAGGAGAGGTAATTCTAGTCTTTCCAGTAAATGTGGTTTTTCCTACTGGCTGAAATATTTCCTTCAACTTACAAATTTAGTGCGAGCTTATTGTTATATTTCAGTATAAGTTTCCTGTTATTCTTATTATTATTAATAGTTTCCTATTACTATTGATATTATATTTTAGTTAATCTCTGTATTAGAAGTATTTGGCCCCCTTTATCCCAAAATGCTTACAGGTATATGGATGGTCAGTTATACTCCTAAAACTTATTCCCAAAATTGTCTGAATTAATGGAAAAAATCGCTTGTTGCTTGGCCTTTATATGAGTTGACTTTAAAATGGAATATGGTTTTTGAAACCAAATTATTTTATGCCTGTAAAAGCTTGTACCTTAAAAAAAATTATTTTCTACTCAAACAAGACTCTTTATGAGGGTGGATGAATTAAAAGGTTTAGAACTCTATTTACTTGCTCAGTTGCTCACTAAGTTTTATGAGTAGTTTAAATAGAGGTTTAACTTCATCAATATATTGATAAATTAGAAACTTAATTACATAAAATTTGACAAGGTAGAGTGACTGGAGTCTTTGTAAAGATTCTGCCAAGGAAAAACCTTTTTATCCATAGGCTCTGTCAAGGACTAGTTTGTCATATTCAGCCAGTGTTCTATATTTGCCGGGCACTAGTTAGGTGTCAGGTCGCGTCTAGGATAGGTAGTTGGGAACTAGAAAATGCATATTTCTTACAAGTAATTTCTCATAAGTATGATAAATGTTGTGCATGTGTTAGTAAAAGTGTTTGGGAAAATATTCATTGGCGATACTGCATAGTTGCATATTGAATAGTAAAAAAGCATCTATACCGAGAATTCATACTAAGAAATAATTGAATAGGACAAACACTTCTTGAACTCAATGGTGCTAACCATTGGGTGATGTTTGATATTGTTATTTGCAGTTGCTGCCGATGGGAATGAACCTGTACAGATGAGAATTCATAAATCGCTTAGGCTCTGGACATTCTATGTGGATTTGGAAGAGAGCTTGGGTACATTAGAGTCAACTAAGGCAGTTTATGAAAGGATTTTGGATCTTAAGATTGCGACGCCCCAAATAATAATTAATTACGCTATGCTTCTGGAGGTATGCGGTTTATATACCACTTGCTGATAAGATGGAAATAAGGTAATAAGATATTCTTCACATAGAGTCCTTGAGTGGAAATAACTTCTGTATTTGTTTAATTTCATCTGCAGGATAATAAATTCTTTGAGGAAGCATTTAAGGTTTATGAGAGAGGTGTCAAGATATTCAAGTACCCACATGTAAAGGACATATGGACTACATATCTTTCCAAGTTCGTGAAAAGATATGGAAAGTCAAAACTGGAACGAGCTCGCGAATTGTTTGAGCATGCTGTCGAAGTGGTATGTCGAAATTGTATTTCATGGCATGTTAAGATTATTTTAAAATTGCCATCCCTTCTCGTAATCTCTTTATTTTTAATTGATATCTTATTTTCAAGTGATTGCCCCCAAGTCCAAATTTGCATGGCCTATAAACGATTAAGATGGTTTAATACAACATGAAAACTTGAAGTATGACTACAAAAAACATATAATAATCAATTTAGAACTAGGACTACCAGCCTTATCCATACCCAACAAGATAAGCATACTATGATCAATCATGTGTTTTATGGTCCTTGAACAAAATTGCTACATTGAAGATAGGAGGACCTATTTGACAAATTTCTCTTTATTCAAAGAAAGCATCCTTTTCCACACTCTACTCTGACTTGCCAGATGATATAATAAAGCTGTTGACCACTTTCTACCTTATGTTTGGCAAGATTCCTGTCATCCTACATTTACCAAACAATCAATCATTGCAGAATATTTCTCTTCTCCTTTGTCCCTTCTTAAAGGGAGTTTAAGAATCCAAACTGTTGGTTTCAAAAAGTGTGCCTCGGGTGCGCAAAGGCGCAAGACGCAAGACGCACCCAGGAGATTGGGAAGTCGCGATGAAGAGTACTGGGCACAGTAGATGCTTATGGGCGTGCCATATTCCTTGCTTCTTGCCGCCTTCTACACTTCTGGGAGGCGGTTGTCTCTGCGCCTTCAGGATGGGTGACGAGTGACGACTCCCAATATGTTGGACTGGCTTTTGCCAATTCACAAACCTAGTTCCAGATTTTTTGTATGTGTTATTATATATTAATGGTGTACAGTTCCCAGACTCCATCAATCTCCTAACTCTCCTCTCTTTTATCCGGTACTCTCTATTCCTCTCTCTATCTTCTGCTATCTTCCCCTCTCATCTTCCGCTCGCGTGACACAAAGAACCCGGTGACGACTTGACGCAAGGATTGCGGGGAACTAAAATGTTATGTACCATGATTTCAGTCACGGCATTTCAGTCCCGTGACCCAACAGAACCAAAATGTTATGTACCGGGATACTTTGCGTCACTGGAATGAAATATAAACGATAAAGGAATAGAGGACGGTGGAAATTTGGGGAGTTTTCCTTCTGCTTAATTTCTTCTTAATTTTTCTTCCATATTTTATCAGCATAGCAAAGCTCCTTTATATAAGAGGGATTACATGCACATGAATACAGAAAACAAGGAAAGAGGAAATCCTAGAAAATCACTTCGCAGAATAGATCAACTGATGAAGATATTAAAATCAAATCATAATGAAATCACTCAAGAAAATCAATCAGCTATTAGTCCTCATTATTCTACTTGATTGCTCTTTTCATCTTTCCATATTGTTAAATTATAGCATGCATCAAAAGTTTTATGGTCAAGTTCTGTGAGGTGCTCCTTCTAAAATGAAGTCCAGACCGCAAAAGGCTTGTTTCACAAGTGCTGCATTCTTGAAGGTGAACCTATGACATGAGAATTAAAGATTGTCCATTGTCTCCGTATTGTTACTGTATAAGCATTTTGAGGCTAAATGAATGTTGAATCAAGCCTCCATTTGTTATTAGTAGGCAGCAGCCATTTGTTAAAACCAATGTTCTAAAAGGCGCTAGGCGCTAGTCGGGCGCCAGCCCAGCGCCTAGTGCCTAGGCGGCTAGGCGGGCGCCTAGGCGGGGACTAGTCGGAGACAAAAAAAATTGTATTTTTATCAATATTTATGCATAAATATGATTAGTAATGTTGTGTTTGTGTGTATAGAAAAAACATATACACACACATACACATATATTAAACCAACTCACTTGCTCACTAGTAGATTTCTACATATGTATTGTTAAAGTTAAAGTGCATATAGCTCCTTGGACACTTAAAAAAAAGCTAAAAAATGTTTGATGAATCTAGACACCTAGGCAGCCGATAAAGCGCTCTGGGCAGGCAAATAGACGCCATACGCGGCCGACTAATTCACCTAGGCGCCAAATCAATTAGTCGGAGCGCCTAGACTAAAATCGGGGCGCCCGGCCACCGCATAGCGCCTAGGCGGGGACTAGTCGGGCGCCTATAACGTTTTTTAGAGCAGTGGTTAAAACCCTCCACACATCAGAAAAGAAATTTAGAAGGAATACTTTGATCCCAGATATAATTCAAGGTTAATCGTTTAATCTTTATCCCTAGTTTAAAAAAGTGTTCCTGAGGTGCGACTAGGCGAAAGGCACACACAAAAAATAATAAAACCATAACAGACATCCCATAGAGATTCCAATAGGTGCTCACAACCCCTTGCTCCTTGCCGGCTTTAGCGCATCCGGAGGCAGTGGCCTTAAATGCCTCCAGAATGTCATACATTTTGATAAATTATTTCGCGTGACAGTCTTTGTATATGGATTATTTATTAATCCTGTACTTTTTCCAGACCCCATAAAACTCCAACTCTCACATAACTCTCCCAATTTTTTTTTCTGAGCATAATCACCAGGTATGCTCTAAGTATTTGGCATAAGCTTCTTTCTTCTAGTCTTTTTCTTCACTGTCCTTTTCTTCTTCTCTCAACCTCTTTCTATTTTTCCTGTGATTATTTCTAGCTGACTGCATGCTGTGTGCCCTCTTTCTGCTCCCCTGCTTTCCTGCTCCCATCACAGAGACGCAGTTTCGAACTGGGTGAGGCCTATTTCTGCCCCTCTGCTTTCCCATGCTTTTTGGTGCTAGACCTTGTTATAGGTTCAAACTTTCCATGCTTTGCTCTTCAGACCTTTAATCCATCTACTGATTTTTTTTATATGTTATTTGCTGTGTATAATTAACTGATACTGTTACTTTACACAAGCAAAATAACAGTATGCACTAGTCCTCCAATTATTATTATATCTTCTATAGGAAAAAATAACTTCTATTTTGAGGATAAAATTTAAAGGACCCTATTAAGAATAAAAATACTAGGTAAGTTTAGTGTGGTGTATATATATAGGAATATAAGAATAAAGAGTATGTATCATTCAATTCTCTATGCTATTCCTATACAAAATTAATGCTTCATTGTATCAGTGGATTCTTGTTGATATTTTATGATTCATCTGAAAGTATTTATTGCATTCATTAGCATGCTTATGTAGATATAGGAGTGTCTAGGAGCTTGAGACTGTATGGTAGTCTTTTCTTACTAAACATCGCTACCATATAAAAATATGGGGGCAGAGGACATTATGTTGTCTAAAATATGTGAGATTCAGACCATATAAAAATAAATGCATCGTATGGTAGTCTTTTCTTACTTACACATTTGTCTAAAGTCAAATGCACCTAACCTACATGCAAACGTGTTCTAAGAGATTGTTTCTTCCCAAGTAGCAGTTAATTAGTTTGCAAGGATTTTTAATGACTTATGGGATTTTTGTTATATTATTATTATAATTAGGTAGAGTATTCCATCATTTGCAATGGAGCCAAAGATTCACTATTTTTTGGTTTGAAAATATGATGGAATAAAGCAAAATGGCTCACTAAATTGTCTGCGCTTCTTTGTTATGAAGTAGCAGTCAGTCTATGCAATTTTGGACGCTATTTTCAATATGGGTCATCCAGAAACAATCTATATGTGCTTTAGTACAGGGGTAAGACTGCATACATCCGACCCCCCTACCCTACCATAGCCCATAGGTGGGAGCCTTTGCGACACTGGGGTAATGATAATGATAATGATACTGATTATTATAATTAGGTAGAGGGCATCATGTAGAAGTTATATAAATTTAGTTTAGGAAAGCTGCATGGCCAAGTTCTGTGAGGCGTGCGCCTCCGCCTTGCGTCTCAGCTAAATTTAACAAAAACACCTCATGCCACCTCATTCTTTTAAAACAAAGTCCTTAATTCCTTATATTCCTTAGCCACTCACAACAACTTCTAGTGTAGCAATGGCCTTTACTCCTAAAACACCACACATGAATGTCTTTATCTCCTTGATATGAATGTCTCTACAGTTTCCTTTGAATGAGTCTGAGGAACTATTGCATAAAGTTTGGGATTATTTCACTTTTCTGAGCTAATGAGATCTTTTTCAGTAATCAATTGGTGGTTAATAACTTCAGAGTTCTGTGAAGGGCCATTTGCCAGCCAGGATTTCTCTAGAAATCACAACTGTTGCTTATTATTGATGCATATTATCTCTTATATATCAAATACTATCGTGCTGATTGAGTCCATTTTATTATTAGGCACCTGCAGATGCAGTAAAGCCATTGTTTCTTCAATACGCTAAACTGGAGGAAGACTATGGTCTAGCCAAGAGGGCTATGATGGTATATAACCTAGCAACTAAAGCTGTTCCAGCTAATGACAAGTTAAGCATGTACGAAATTTACATAGCCCGTGCAGCTGAGATATTTGGTGTTCCTAAAACGAGGGAAATCTATGAGCAAGCAATTCATTCGGGACTTCCAGATAAAGATGTTAAAGCTATGTGTCTGAAGTATGCAGAGCTGGAGAAGAGTCTGGGAGAAATTGATCGTGCTCGTGTGCTGTACAAGTATGCATCTAACTACGCGGACCCTCGGTCCGACCCTGTCTTCTGGGATAAATGGAATGAATTTGAGGTGCAACATGGAAATGAGGACACCTTCCGTGAAATGCTTCGTGTAAAGAGAAGTATTTCTGCCAGCTTTAGTCAGGTATGTTTTTCATTTTTTGATTTTTTTATGTTTTGCGGTCGGTGCGGAACAGAAAGTGAGGATGAAAGCATAAAGGAAAATTCCAAGGAAAGAAAATTTGGAGGAAATAAATGAAATAAATTTATCTTAGATAAATTTGACTTCACGTTTTCCAATATACAACTTCGACTATTAATATATTTAATTGGCTATGAGTACACAAAAGAGAAAATTCCCTGGATAGTAGTAAAACATAACAAATTTTCTCAAATAAGAGTACCATTGTTTGCTTCCCAAAATATGACTCATGCACTCCTATTTTGGGAAGCCTTTATTCTTTTACTTTTGTAATAGGACAAAGTAAGTCATGTTTGGGAAAGGAAATGTATTTAGTCATATTTTAGAACTTTGCCTCTATTTCACACCTATTTTGAACAATTTCTTTAAATATAAAAAAATCTTATTTTGAAATTTTAAAATGGGATAAATTTAACTCTATTTTTGATGGTATGATTTCAATTTCTTAATAAATAAAATGTGGTCAAAGTAGAGCATGTGCGTAATGAAAGTCAAATCGTTACAACCAATAAGAAGGGATGTAGTGTTATTTTTATATATTTTTATTTCTATCATATAAAGACTAAGAAATCCATGTATGCACTACCCCCAAATAATTTTCAATGCTGTTGTAAATCGTAGTTGTGCAATGTTAAAACAATACAATGTACAATTGTATTTAGGGTGATTTGAGTTCGCACCCCACTTTTTGGGTGGTATTGGACTTTGCATTCCGTTGTACTTAAAAATTCTTTTACTTAGCACCTCATTCAGAAATTTTTCTTCAATGTTATATGATGGGGTGAAAAGTCGAAGTTTTTCAAAATGGGGTGCAAAATCAAATATCACCCAAAAATGGGGTGCAAAGTCAAATTCCCCTTTGTATTTATCCTTTGGCATTTTACGAAGTCCAAAATACAAAATCTGTTTTTTAGAATCCGTGAAACTCTAATTGCAAATTCTTTTCGGAAAGAGAATAAAAGTTAAAAAAAATATTCATCATTCAAGATACAATCAAATATAAAATGGTAGTTTTCCTTATCATCGTTTCCAAGATACAACCACCACAACGACAACATTTAAGCCTTGGTGCCAAAAATATTTGGGGTTGGCTAACATGAATTGAGAATCAAAAGAAAAAGCAAGATAAAAAGATAAGCTATGATAAAATAGATAATATGAAGTATAAAAAGAGATAATAGATAATATATACATAAAAATGATAGAATAAAATGGATAAAAACAAACACAAGAAAGAAAAAGAAGTTAAGGGGAAAAAGATTATTAGAGATCACTCCGTCACACGAATACCCGCTCTCCACTTTGCTCTCTCCAAGCTATACCCTCATCCAACCCAAGAAGTATATCCTCCTGACTTTTCTAATCCACGTCCGATTGAGTCTTCATCTTCCTCTCTTCCTTGCCTCTTCTCCACACCTCTCAACTCGTCTAACAAGTGCATCACTCGGTCTTCTACGCACATGACCAAAAACCCTGCAAGCGAAACTCCCACACATTATCTTGGATATCTTCATTAGGTGCTAGTCCCACTTTTTGTTTGATTATCTCATTCCTCAAGTGGTTTTTTCTAGTATGTCCACACATCTAATGTGGCATGCTTATCTCTATCACACTCATCTTTTGAATGTAACATTGTTTCACTGCCCAAGACTCTACGCCATACGGTAATGTCGGCATACCTCAATCGCATAGAAATGCTGAATTCCTTACACGCTCTTCATTTTTATCCACCCTGTTCTGATTCTAAGGGATTCGTCCTCGTCTAATTCACCGTCCTTCTGAATTATGTAGCCGAAGTGATGGAACATGTCACTGACCAGTATCTCATTACAATCTGGAGTAATTTCGCTATTACCACTGCTTCGCTTCTACCTCCATCAAACTTGTACTCCATGTACCCAGTCTTGCTTTGACTCACTTTGGAACCCTTGTTCTCCAATGTTTGTCACCATACTTCCAATTTTGCTTTAGCACCCGATTGCGTCTTATCAGTCAATACAATATCGTCGGCAAACATCATGCACCATGGTATATCATCTTGAATTGAAAGGGATCAGAGCTGATCCTTGGTGCACTCTCATAGTAATAGGGAACTCTACAGTTCTCCTGACACTAGTACGGACAGTTCTAGTACAATCCTCATACATATCCTTGATGATGCTAATATACTTTGCGTGATATGCCGACATACTTTGCGTGATATGGCTTTTCTAGTTAAGGCCCACCAAAGAACTTGTCGAAGTACCCTATCATATGTCTTTTCTAAGTCAATGAACACTAAATGCGGATCCTTGTTAGTTTCTTTTTACTTCTCCACTAGTTGACAAAGAAGATGAATGACCTCGATTGTTGAGCGACCAGACATAAAACCGAATTGAATCTCTGAAATCTTCACACTTCTTTTGAATCTTTGCTCAATCTGTCGCTCCCAAAGTTTCATGGTGTGACTCATGAGCTTAATCTCTCGATAGTTGACACATTCTTGTACATCACCCTTGTTCTTAAATAAGGGAATATGAGTACTCTTTCGCCAGACATTTTGTCGTTTCTTCAAATCTTGTTGAAGAGACTTGTTAACCACTCGACGCCTCTCTCCCAAAATTTTTCAGGCCTCGATCGGTATGTCATCCAGACCCACTGCTTTCTTCCGCCTCATCTTCCTCAAAGCCTCTTTAACTTCTATCGTTTGGAATCTTCAAAAAATCATGATTTACCATACAATCTGGTAAGGTCAAATCATCAAGAACTTGCGCTTCATTCTCGTTGAATAATGTATCAAATATGACCTTTACCTCTCTTTTATTTCTCTGTCCTCCATTAGTATCCTTTAATCGGCATCCTTCACAATTTAATTTTTTCGATATTTTGAGTCTTACGATCATGAAGACGAACAAGTCTTTAAATATCTTTTTCTCCTTCCTTAAAGACCAACTACTTTTCGTACAGTTCCTTCACGTCTTTCTATGTTTGTCTTTTAGCATCCTTGTATGCTTCTATCACCTCATCATTTCACCAAGATGTGTTCTTTTTTGGTGGCAGACATAAATCTCCTTTGTGACGTTATTAATGGTCATCTCCGTTGATAACCACACATCCTCCGCATGTGTTTCATTATCAATACACCATACATCTACACCAAACATTTTGTGTAAAGCTTTGCTAGAGACCCCCTCGAGCCTCCATTTTTATAGATCACAAGGTGACAGTCTATTTTCTTGAACCAAGTGTTCATTATAGCCAACTCATATGTCGAGACAAAATCAAAGATGTTCTTTTCCGCTTTATTTCTAGTGCTAAAACCATGTCTGCCATGAATAATCTCAAAACAATCACAACTCGAGCCCACTTGCATGTTGAGGTCGCCTCATATGACCAACTTCTCTCCCCTTACACTTGTTGCACCATTTCCTAAAGATCTTTCCAGAACCGTTGAGTTGTAGATGCATCCAATTTCACTTGTGGTGCATAGACATTAACCACATACATGATCTCACCCCCTATCACTAATTTAGTGCTCACGATGTAGTCGTTCTTCCTAAAGACTTCCATCACATCCTCAACATAGTCACATTTTCATTTCATTTTCATTTACCCCAATGCCGCAAAGGCTCCCACCTACAGTGGGTAAGGGGGGGGGGTCGGATATACGTAGTCTTACCCCTGTACTAAAGCACATAGAGACTGTTTCTGGATGACCCATAGTGAAAATCACGTCCAAAATTGCATGGACTGACTGCTGCTTCATAATAAAGAAGCGCAGACAGTTTAGTGAGCCATTTTGCTTTATTCCATCATATTCTCAAGCCAAAAAAATAATGAAACCTCAACATAGTCACGTGCCACAATAAAACCTACTCCGTTTCTGGTCTTCTCTCTCCCCGAATACTACAACTTAAATCTCCGGGATTAATCTCACATGTTTTCTCTCCAACCCACTCTTGCACAGACATAATGCTGATATCTCTTCTCCTCATAACTTTGACTACCTCGGAAGATCTTCCTATAAGAGACCCAACATTCCAAGTTCTAAAATGCAATCCATCACTCCACCTTTTGTTCTTAACCTGGCTTCGGACCCCAGGCCTTGCATATTTGACATTATCTCCGGGCAATGGGATTACCTAGCAACAACATTCTTATCACCATACTCGGGCCTATGAAGTGTAGCGCGCCCTTGAGTATTTGACACCATGCCCAAACAAGGATGACGCGTCGCTTATCTATATGTGATGACCTAGCTGTAACGATATTCATATTTCGATTCATGTCATCCGATGTGACTAACTGATACTGTTGGCCGTCACGCGCCGTCACGCGCCTACACAACACCCTCTTCTGTTATCTCTATGATATCAAAAATGATCTTATGATAGAGTTTCAAAGATAAATCAAAATACGAAAATATGTTCCCCTAATATGTTCCATGACCCAAGCATACCCTTGAGGAACTATGGTTTTCTAATTGTTATCGTCATTATTGCTGCTGTTATGGTTGTTGTTATTGAGGATTTGAGGTTAGTAATAATCTTCTTTTTTTGTGCAGACACACCACATTCTTCCTGAACTCCTAATGCAGAAGGATCAGATGCAGACACTTGAGGAAGCTAAGGATGTTTTGAAACAGGCGGGAGTTGATGAAGACCAGATGGCGGCCATAGAAAAGCAGCTTCTAGTGTCCTCCACCAATATCACCTCAAATGAAACAACACCCAGGGATAGGGGGGGTAGGGTGGTCGGATTCGTGAGTGCGGGTGTTGATTCCACTGATGCACCTAAGAATACTACTACTTCAAACAAGGAGGACATCGAGCTTCCTGAGGAGAGTGATTCGGAAGGAGAGGGGGGTGGTGATGGGGAAGTTGAGATTGCACAGAAAGAAGTGCCCGATGCTGTGTTTGGTGGTTTAGCCCCCCAAAAGAGGAGAGATGTCGATGAGAAAGATGAGGACAGCCATCTTGTTGTTGGTGCACTGGAGAGAATAAAGCGAAGGAGGCAGGGCGGCGGCTCCTAGGCATTCAGGATACTGGATTGTTTGGGAACTGATTTTACGTCAACGGGCTCTTACCTTTCATTGCTCAGATTTTATTTCTCTTATTCATGTATGCATGTATTTATGTATGTGGTAGTAGTAGTAGAATTTGGGGTTGAAACTACTCTGAAGAGTGAAGTTGGCTGGTTTAAGTAACTTGGGCGATCAATAGTCAATACATACATCCGCTTTCGTGTGCAATAAATATGCACCAGAATTTTATTTAGTACTATGGCTGAAAACTATCCATACTAATCTAGATTCGTCATTCAAATAGTTCGCGGGACCATTTTCAGTCAGTTCAGGGAGTGGTTGTTGCCAACTACTAACAGCACTGGACCTGTGGACCATTATCCACTACAGACGCCATTCTGTATGGTACTATGGTGTATCTGATTATGTACATTTTATTTTTAAGTAATGTCATGTTATATACAATATTAAAAGCATGTAAATTTAAATATTTAATACGTAAATGATTTTTATCAGCACTTTGGTTTGTTATGGTTTCTGGATAGTATTCTCAATTTTTTGTTGTTGAATTTTTCTTACTGACTTTTACTGATCAAATCTATTTTGAATTTGTTATTGTAAGGTATTATAAATAAATAGATAAATAGAAAGGGATTGTGCCAATTCCAAAAGATGTCGAACCAGACCAAGTGATACCAATCCTAATTTATGAATAAATTGAATGGCATTGTACCAACTACCAATACCAAATAAAACTTAAGTTGTTAATAAATAAACATTTCCTCCATTCTTTTTTATTTGTAACATTTTAATTCTAAATTTTTAATGTTTGTCAATGCACAAATTTGACTATTAATATTTATAATATATATTAATAAAGGAAATGTAATCAAAGCAGAACATATGAAAAGCGTAAAATTCAATAATGTTGCAACTAAAAAACGGATGTAGTACTTGATATGGATAAGTATTGACATTTGACGTAAAATTCAATAATTATCGATGATTGTAAAAAAGTTGACAATACAATGTTTAAACCCCTAAAAACATTAGAAAATTTAAAAGGTTAAAATGTATGGGGGGATTGCAAATAAAAAAACTAGTAAATGAAATATGAAATTTGAATTTACATATTAAGCTGTATAATAAAAAAATATATATAAGGTTAGATTTACTTTTTTGATGAAATCTATTGCATTTACTGAAAAAGGGTGATGGAGTATATGGCCCGGGAACCCCCGGCCCACAGACTCCTGCTACTCCAACACAGGCCCGACAGGCCCAAGGAGCGCATGAAGCCCAAAGCACAACGGCCCAAGTTCAAAGGAGCCCGCAGTGCACCTAGGGTAGCCTTCGGCAATATGGCCGAAGACACCAAAACTCAAAGGGCAACCAAATTCGAGCATACAAAGCTACTGGGAGAAAACGGTAGAAACCAGGAGCCTTCGGCACCTTCGTGCCCTCGGCACCAGGGGAGCCTCAGCCATACCAAGCCTTCGGCCACACCGAGCTCTCGGCTGTTCAGAGCCTTCGGCCACAGCTCAATCATCGAAGATTCCCTTTGGAGACAAGCAACCACCGTATTTAATGCGGCGTCACGTCCAACCACCGCATTTAATGCGGTGCACATGCGAGTGCCGGTGCCGATTGAGGTGACCCCTCGGCCGTTGGATTACTGACACGTGTACTCTCATCGCATTTATTGCTGCTATAAATAGCAGCCCCTATTCCTCTTGTAAAGGACCAGAACATCTCGAGTTCATTAATACAATCGCCTCTCTCTCTCTCTCCTACTTGTTTGCCCTGACTTCTCTCTAGGTTATTCTCATAATAACCTCCCGGATAAGCTACCCCCTAATACACTATTCATCAGAGGGCTATTTCAACTCTTTTCATAAAATAATCTCTTCAATTATTAATAAAATATATTTTAAATATTCCGTATAATTTATTCATAATTAAGTAGATTCGGCCAATTTAGCGAGTTCAAGCAAAATTTCACTATTTCAGTCAATTCAACCAATTTCAGTGTTATGAAGTGGGCTCTCGATTTACATATTATTTTCCACATTCATGATCCAATTTACAAATGTGTCGATAAATAATTATCCTTAAACTATTACATACAGTAGTAAAATTTAGACTAAAACGTGACTAAAGTTAAAATGAGTAAATCGGCCGTGATCACTTGTGTAAATTAAAAAGTTACTAGGGAATTTTCCTTAATAAAAACATGTTGAAATTTTAAAACAAGATTGTCATGATTTTATTTTCTAAATAGGAATAATTACAAACCAGTTTAAAAAATACTATCATGTTTGAAGTTTGATATTGACAAAACATGACAGTAATTATTCCTATTCAAGAAATAAAAATATGACAACTATATTTTGGGACATTTCTACTCCTATTTTAGCCAATTTTTGAAAAATACTGTCATGTTTAATGTTTGTATACAACTCACTAAAGTATACAAAATCACATTTTTATCTACCTATTTTCGTTCTTTTTTAAATGCAACGGTCCAATTTTCACGTTTGCCAACGCACAAGTTTGACCATCAATATCTTTCATTTCTTATTAGTAAAAAAATTACAAAAAAATTAGATTTTGAAAATTTGAAATGAGATGAATTCAACAATTTTTTTTAATTTAATTTATAATACATTAATAAATAAAATAGAATCAAAGTAGAACATGTGAATAGTGAAAAAAATGTAATGTGACATTTAAAAAAGAAGGGAGGAGTATATGTCATTACAACAGTCGGAGCTCTCCACCCTAGGCCTAAAGCACTCACCAAGAAAATGCCAAATCCTTCTAATTTTTCTCATGTTTCAAAGTTCAATGATACTTGGTATATTACATAGTTGTATACATTTTAAAAATAATTGATACTGATAATTTCTTGATGTTGTACGTAGTAAATATTTGTTGGAAACTTGGAATAGGCTGCTTTGTAGATAAAAATATCACAAACAGCTCATTTTTGCATCTACATCGGTTTCCGCCAGGAGTAGACACACATTTAACTTAATGGGGGTCACAATCCCCCAGCAAAGTGTGAATTTTTTATTTTTATTAAATACTCCGTAATAATTAGGGTGTGCTCCCAACAAGAAAGAAAGGTGCCCTCATGCAGTCATGCAAGTGAGCAATTTTTTTTTTTGAGCAATTTTTTTGAGGTAAGTGTCATATTGGTACTCAAAATTGCATAAAAAATGTCAAATAAGTCCTTACTGTCCGGCTATCCCCATTTGAGGCGGTTCCCAGTATAATTTTTTGATGAAATTTTTTGAGCATCTTATTCATTAAGTCTAATTTTCTCATACCAAATTTCAACTAAAACTTCAATCGGGAAGTCATTTGTGATATTTTAACTGCGCAGCTATCTTCAATAATTCATTTGAATGACTTCCCAGTTGAATTCTTTGCTGAAATTTGATATGAGTAAACTAGACTTAATGAATAAGATGCTCAAAAAATTTCGTCAAAAAATTCCACCGGGAACCGCCCCAAATGACGACGGCCGGACAGAGCCTCTTATATAAGAACTTATTTGACACTTTTTATGCAATTTCGAGTCCCAATCCGACCCTTACCTCAATTTTTTTTGTTATATTCGTACGTAGTACTAATACTCCCTTCGTAACTTTAAAATCTTCTCATTTCAAAAGTAGGTATATTAAGAATAGTGAAAGATGATATGAATTATTAAAGTTATGATGGGAAAATAGTGGAATAATGTGGTGGAATGTAGGATAAATCCAAAAAAAGTAGTTGTAATAGTGCATTATTTTAAGAATTATTGAAGGTATGATGAGAAAATTTAAAAATGGGAATATTTTTGTGTTACGGACGAAAAAAGAAAGTGTGAAGATTTTTAGGTTACAAAGGGAGTACTATTAAATACTCCGTACGAAGTATTTGGAGTAATTTCCTAAAAATAATTAAATAAAACTTAAATTGCAAGAATGATAAAAAAAACTTAAACTGCAAGAATAAGAGTATTGGTTTTAAATTATCAAAAAAGAAGTAATGTTTCATACTAGTATATAATAATAAAACATAAAAAGGAAAATAAAAAATAAAAAACATAAAAATGTAGGTCTCAACTCTCAACCACCTTCGTGCCATCTTGATGGCTAGTTCAATGTAAAACTTGTCATTTTTAAGAGTGATAATATCATCTCCGGATGACATTTTTACACAAGATCACATTTTTTCGGTAATGGGAGATGGCGGTGCTTGCATATTTTGACATTTTGTCACTCCATATTTTTTATGTATTTTATTTATTTATTTATTTATTCTCTTAAATTTAAGTTTTTTAGTTTTTAAATTTCTTATGTTTCTTATTATAATTTTTTTATTATAAATTAAAATATGAGATTCTTATTAGTAAGAGTAAAATAGAAAGTGGTTATATAAATTACTCATATTTTGAGAATATACAAACTATAGTCCTATTTTTACATTTTTGAATTATTTTACTTATATTGGGGATATATCTCACTAACTCCGGGCACATATATATCTTTCTATTTTTCTCAAATTTATGATTGTCACATGAAGTCCCTTGCATTAGAGTAGCTATATGTATGTTAGTGGTATCCCCAACAACAAATTTTTGTGTATCTATCACTAGTTTCCGTGCGTTTAGAGACGTTAGACATTGGTATTATTGCAAAAAAAAAAACAAGTGTAAGCACTCAATCCATTGTGATTGATACACATACTAATGTTGTTTTTACTCATTTTCACCCCGGGGCGGGGGCAGGATGGGACTCGGGCTCGGGTACACAAACAGATGATGTTTTTATTGGATTGCAATTTCTAGTCTAATCTGGTTCTATTTGATCGGTTTTACAATCTGTTATGATGAATGTCTAGTTCATATGTACTTTTCCTCTATCAAAGTGTAATCTAATACGTGTAAGTCTAATTTAGTCTAGACTACTTTGATTTGAAATTGAAATAATTTCTTCTTCCCTTAAAACTTTGTCATCTTTCCTTTTTTGGGACTTCCTAAAAAACTTTGTCACTTTCTCTTTTAATAAGTTATTTTGTGGTTTCTGTTATTTCTCTCTTATCTGCACAAACCTCAATCAAACAGTTTTTATTTTATTATTTTTCGTGCCGATCAAACTTGACAAAATTTTAAGCGAAAAAGGTTGTAAGTCTTAAAAAATATGCCGATGCCAATATACAAATTACACGCATTAAAAATTTTATAGCTAGAGATCATCATCCTATTTACTCCGTATATAAAAAGTTGATAGCTAGAGATCATTTTCATATGCAGCATGTGCAAATTCCAGCGAACCGACTATACAGTAGAGGACACGTGGAAGGGCCCACTTGTTCTCAAAGAAATACAGAGTACTTCACAGTGAGGAGATGAGGATGCCGGTGTTACCCCCATTTATACCCACACATTAGGCCGGGTAAGAATGGGGTACCCCATTTTGGGGAAGCTATAGCACTTGTGTACTTTATGCTCCATATGTTTAATTGTCTAAAAGGTACTTTGTGATTTCTAATATAAATTAAATCTTGTTTTATTATGGACATGGACTTTAAAATATTGTTCCTCTTACGTAATTACGTCTATTCTGCACGTTATACAAGCAATACCTTGCATTTTCCTTAAAAATTATGCTTTTATCGGGGTATGCACGCAGGAGTGGAGCCCGGGCACTTGACCGGATTAAACTGGTACAAACAATATTTTTGAATTTTTTTTTACATAGAATTTTTACACTAAAAATGTAGATATTTTTAAAATTTGGTGAGGATCAGGGTCAGAACTGACTCTCCCCTAACTATACCCTGTGTGTACGAATCATTAGAGGTTGTGTATAAAAACGTCTACAAATGACATGCTCAACAAGGTTTTTCCTCAAATAAATAGGATGAGTTTTACATGATTAGTATAGTAAAAGGATGACACCCATCCTTGTGGTTTTTAAAATGAATTGTAGGCAAATACAGACGTTTTTTGTATACTAATTGTGTGTAGGACAAATTTTTTAAAGTCGCAAGCTGTGGAATGGCGGCTACATGGTAGGTACCAGGCTACCAGCACACTAGCACTGGCATAGTATGCAGCATCTACGTGACAGGTCACTGCATTTCCTTCCCCGTCCTTTTCTTTTGACGGCCAATTTTTAGACGGAATAGAGAAGTCCAATAATTTCGCAGAGTTGATCGGACCTGTCCCAATAAATCCTCTTCCACACACTTCTTCTTCACCTTCCCGCTTCTCTCTGTAATACAACCAAAGATTGCAGAAGAAGAGAAGAACAATACGCAAGTAAAAAAACACCAAAAAGAAGCTCTTTTTAATTGAGAAAAGTGAAGATTTTGCATCAATGGGGAGTGATCAGGGACCAGAGGAGTGCTACAAGGAAGCTTTATTGGAGGGGAAAGGGTACTATGAGAACTGCCCAGGGTGTAAGATGGAGCAGCAGAAGCAGTTGCAGAGAGGGGTTCCCATCAAATTGCTCATCACCATTTGGTCTATTGTCCTCTGCACTTGTATGCTTACTTCTCATCACTTCTTATTTCTATACTATAGTAGATTAGTGGTAATCTTTTGGTTAGTAGTTCCAAATTCTTTATATTAAACTTTCTTTAATTGACTTCATGCCCATTGTTAGGAAGATTACTACATCTTGTTCATTTCCCATTTTAGACAACTACCTGATATTGATTTTTTTAATATGTTTTTCATTCCTTGTATTTAAGCCTTTTACTTTTTCAGTGACTCTGTATTAAGTATTAACTACTTATCTGTTCTGGTCAGTCTACTGGAGGAGTGAAACGTTAAGACTGAAAGTATGGTGTTTACTACTCCGTATATGCAAACAATATTTTTATTTTAGAGTTTTTCCCACTTTTTAAGGTGCCCGTTTTATATGTATATAAATCGCATGTCTTTTTCAATAATTTATTTAAATGACTTCGAATTTTAATCTGAAAATTTGTGAGCATAATCTACACATCACGAATAACATGCTTAAACAAAAAAAAATTCAAAAAAATTCACTAGGAAGCACCTCAAACGGGCTTGGCCGACAGGCAGGGGAGGATCTATGTTAGGGCTATGGTGGGCTGAAGCACAGTGCAAAGTAAAAAAAAATATTATTTTTAAGGTATTATGTTTAAAAAATTGCATCTAGTCCATCCCAAATTTTTCTATAGCCCAGTCCAATTTCTCAGCCCAGCCCATAATACAAAATTTTAACATCTAAAAATCTAATCTAAATGTTATACACATCACCCTCATACTTAATAATTGGCACTTAATATATACATATAAGGACTTTATTGACATGTTCACAACAACTTTTAAAGTGCTTGAGTATCTTCAAAAACATTGCCCAAAAGTGAGTTCTTGGGCATAAGTTCGTAATGTACATAAACATTTTTCATGTTTTGAATTTGTGATCCTTTACTATTTTTTTTTTACTCCAGGGGGGTTGGGGGAGCCTGGAGTAATCAGTGCTGAAACTCACTCCGTTGAGTTTCGCACCCTTGTGTGCCTAGCGGATTTCAAACTCGAGACCCCCCACTACACACGGTAACCTCACAATCAGCTGAGCTGGAATGCTTGGTTATGGAAATAATGAATTCTGTCAAGGCCTTTGAAATTTTTTATTTGATATCTTGTTAGCCATGAGAGACATTTTTCCATTACACAACCGATCATTCTAGAGGAATTGACAAAAAACGGATGGGAAGACTTTCTTGAAGAAGTAAAGGAGTTTTGCTCAAAACATGAAATTCATGTACCGAAGTTGAATTTTGAATATACGGTTGGTCATTGCAGAAAGAAACTACAGTTTGTCTGTGAACCCGATTCACAGACAATATTTTGTTTGTGCAATATATTGTCTATGAACCGGAGTTCACGGACAAGGCGACAGGACTCCCCATCAAGTGCGCCTGAGGAGATGTTTACTCTAGAATAAATATATAGAGATAATGACTAAATATACTTTTGAACAATGTGACAGAGAATATATATCTACGTTTCAACTATTTTTTTAAACAATTAAAAAAAATATACCCTTCAATTATATATTGGAATACCTATATACCCCAACTATTGGACATAAAGGGTATATATCTCTCTTTAATATATAGTTTGAGAGATTTATTCTGACTTTATAATATTTGTGTTTAAATGTTTAAAAAATTGAGGAATATATTTTCCCAATAAATATATAGATTGTGACGCATATGTGAATGACATTTTACAAGATAAACAAGAATCAGTAGAAGTTAACTGACTCAAGATATGAGTTATGAGAGGTCAAAAAGTGTAACCAATTATTTAAATACTTCTTCTTCATGGTTCATTCACTATATTTTTTTGTTAAATTTCACATATTATGTCCTCAACTTTGCAGCACTCCCAATATCATCTCTCTTTCCCTTCCTTTATTTCATGGTAAGTTGCATATCTCCCTCAACTCTCATGTTTGCTAAGTTGAGCTAGTCCAGTGCTTACACATCTATATATGTTTTCTGTTATGCTAGATAAGAGACTTCAAGATTGCAGAGAGAGAAGAAGACATTGGTTATTATGCAGGTTATGTAGGTAGGCCACTACTTTTCAGGACATGATATGCTACTATTATGAAATATATTATATTACTCAGTATATCTTTTTAGACAAAGTTGAAAAATATGATTTAAGTATGTTTTATTCCCGAATAGAACTTATTTAGTCCTATTGAAATAATAAGTTGATTAGAACTTTCCAAAACAGGAGTGCATGAGTTCTGTATTGGGAATGAAACAATAAAAGTCCTGGTTATTAACTTTATCCTTGTTTTAGTCCTATTTAAGGAATTCTCTCTTATCGTTTTCATTAAAATATCTCTTACCTTGCCTAAATGCATGAAGGGTCGGCATTTATGATTGGAAGGGCAGTGACATCTTTGTTTTGGGGGCTGATTGCTGATCGATATGGCCGAAAACCAGTTATTCTATTTGGCACAATCTCAGTGTAACTTTCACTAAAATCTCTCCTTTAAAGTGTATTACTTTGATTCTTTTTATACTAAGGTGACTTCAGAAACCATTGTTTGATACTGCTATGTATTGATATGATCCCAGGGTGATTTTCAATACTCTGTTTGGTTTTAGCGTAAACTTCTGGATGGCAATCATTACTAGATTTCTTCTTGGAAGTTTAAATGGTTTGCTTGGACCAATAAAAGTATCTTTTTTAACCTCCATAATTAACACCACTTACCATTTCATCTCCTTTTCTTAATTTCACTTTGATGCTCTATATCACCTAACCATATTCAATGTTCAGGCATATTCTGCAGAAGCTTTTCCGGAACGGTACCAATCTTTAGGACTTTCAGCGGTAACACTCTCTTTGGTCTTTTTTGCCAAATATACCAATTGTTGTACTCTACATTACCGTTTGGTTACTATGTTATTCGACTTAAGAGTTAAGACTTAAGACCTCTACAACCATTTTCTTTCTGGAACACTAATTTATGAATTCGCGCATCGAATTGTTTCATAATGAAAGTAAATAACGTTTCAAATGTTTTTTAAGTGAATTCGCTAAAGAGGACAATATTAGATTACTTTCCATTTATTGTTCTTTACTTTATGAATAACAAATGCTACCTCCACTCTTTCATAATAGTTGTAATGCTTTGACTTTTATGCTATCCATATATTCTACATTGACCATAATTTATTTATTGATGCTTTAAAAAAGCAATATTATGAAAAATATTAATTCCTCCGTCCCAAAATTAAATTCTGGATTTCCTTTTTCGAATGCCCCGCAATCAAGTTTTTATTTCTCTTTTTGGTAATATTTGAGTGATAAATTACTCTTTTACTCCTATGAAAAGTACATCATTAATTATCAATTTTCTCTGTCATACTTTATAGGAGAGCATACTTGGAAAGTCAATTAGAAAAGTTAGTTTGTCTAAAAAAGAGTTCCTGAATTTTTTTTTCTCTTTTCTTTTTTCTGTGCTTTAGGTCAGCACATCTTGGGGTATAGGATTAATCATTGGTCCAGCTCTAGGAGGTTTTCTTGCACAGGTACATGGTCTCTATTTAGCTATATTTTGTTCACTTTCATTCTGCAGTTCATTTTTGTGTGTGTTGATTGGTGTACTTTTGAAACTAAGCCTGCTGAGAAGTATCCTTCATTGTTCTCACCACACTCTCTATTCGGAAGGTAAATCAACTCTTGTTTTTCCTTGCAAAAAAAAACTCTTATTTTTAGCTAAAATTCTACTGATTTTGCTTGCATTTTTCTGAATTCTGAACATTCATTAAAAGCTTCGATGTATTATGCCTTTCTGCAGATTTCCCTACCTCTTGCCTTGTCTGTGCATTTCGTTTTTTGCACTAATTGTGACAATTTTTACATTTTGGTTGCCGGTAGGTCCTTTTTACCACGCAACTTAAATTTCTATAGTGTTTAGTTTTTCTTCATTTTGATTCAACCCATATGCATGTAGGAAACAATGCACAAACATGATGACACTGGTGATTCATATATGGCCTTAGAGGCTGCATCTCAAGTAGCTAAGATTGAAGAAAAACCGACCCCGAAAAGAAACATTCTCAGAAACTGGCCTCTAATGTCATCAATCATAGTATACTGTGTTTTCTCTCTTCATGATATGGCTTATACAGAGGTAATAATGTATATATATACATACATGTATGTGGTGTATAGTAGAAAGCTAATCCTATCAAGCGACTGAGGGTCAACATTGTTTTGGCTCTTACATCACTTTAATCATTTAGATGTCTTCGTTCAAGGGTAAACTATTAGCTTTAAACACTATATCTTCACTTTGATAAAAGATAGATGCAACAAACTCAATTCATTACTTTTAGAGTTATCTAAAGCTTCACATCATCATCAGAAATAATTTTATCTCCGATAAAATTGACTTATTTACACAACTTAATGATCAAAATTAACTCTCCAAGTAAATTAATGAAGAACTTGGACCATTGATTTTTTTGGCCAATGAAAGTGCGCCTCATGCCCTAACGGAGATTATTTCAGATTTCAAATGTAATAGCTCTCTGTCTCAATTTCAGGTTTTCATACACTATTCTTGAGGTCTAGTGTTAGCACTTAGCACTATATGAAATGAGTAGCAAAGTTTGATTTATAGAGTATTCTTGCAGCTTATATGAATCGTTTGGTTCTGTAGATATTCTCTTTATGGGCTGAGAGTCCTCGAAGACTTGGAGGATTAAATTATTCTTCAAATGATGTTGGATTTGTTCTCTCATTCTCTGGTGCATAGCCTATTCTACTGATAACCTTTACTGTCTATTCAACTCCCACTTTTCTTCCTTCAGGAAGTTCAATTTTTAGTTTGAAGAGTGTATACTCATTTTATACCAAAAAATTTTTCCCCTTAAATTGCAACGTGAATTCGACAACGACTCTTCTGCATTTTACAGGTTTCGGTCTTCTATTCACTCAACTATTTGTGTATCCAATTGTTGAGAGAAAGCTTGGCCCTACATTGACATCAAGAATTGGAGGAGTAAGTAAACATAATGTTCAGTATTTCAAAATGATGTCAACTGTGACCAGACTTGTTCTAGAAACAGTTTTACTCTCCAAATTGTGTTTGACTTACTGTTGACTTGCCCTTGTGCAGATTTTGTCAATACCACTGCTAACAAGCTATCCATACGTTGCAATGTTATCTGGTATAACCCTCTCCCTGGTGATAAACTGTGTGTCTCTCATGAAGAATGTTCTGTCCGTAAGTGATTCCATATACTGGTTCTTGAATTGAAGCATTTAAACAATCTGACTTGTTATCCCTAGTTTACAAGCAGGTGATATAATTTGCTATTGACATGATTAACTTGTCATCTTAAAATGTGAACTGTAGAAAGAATAGTCTACAAGTGAGTTTGTGCTTGGGTATTTAGCTTGTGTGAGATGGCTCCTGGTTTATTTTTTTATAGCTAAAATAACTTTTTATTGACTTCCCAATATGTCTTCAAGCTTTTCCATGAGAGGGGCGAAGATTGACATTTTGAAATCTATGAAGTTTTGGCGGAAGTGGCTAGATTGGTGTAAAGAACATATGTAATCATTAATTTCCTCTTTACGCCAATCAATCCAGTCATGGCAATTTCGCCAATCCAGCCACTTTCGCCCCTCCCATTGATATTCAACCAATATCAATGTTACCAAAAAAGATCTAAATGTAGATAATTTTTACTAACCATTGACTTGTTCTTTTTATGATCAGACCGCAATTGTGACCGGACTTTTCATATTGCAGAATAATGCAGTGGTAATTATCCGCTCGTGTTATTATAACTATTTCCCCTACCATGTTTTCTCTCATTGGCTCCTGTAATGGTTTGATCTCCTTGTCACGTGGTTTCTTTATTTGGTACATGACTAAAGGATCAAGATCAAAGAGGAACAGCAAATGGCATTGCCATGACCACAATGTCAATCTTCAAAGCTTTAGGTCCTTCAATGGGAGGGACACTGTGAGTACTAGTTATTTTCTCTCATTTGATTCCTACTCACAAAATCTTGACATCACCCGTATCTTTTACCTCCCATGGATGTTTTTAATTTAATTGAATCGCTTTCAGTCACAGACCGGACTTAAAGAGACCATATCATGCTTGCAAAATACGCATAGAAGATACATCTACTGTATCAGATCAATTCAGATTATATCAGATTTACACAGACCAGATCATAACAAACCAGAATAGAAAATTTTAGTCCAATTAAAAACATCATATGTATCTCATATTGGATGTGTTGTTTTTTAACAAAACCCATAACCATATGTTGTCTTTTTCTTTGGTAGATTTTCTTGGTCTGAGAAGCGTCAAGAAGCCTCCTTCCTTCCAGGTATAAATAACTTTTAGTGATTGTAATTTAGTAACTTTGAACACAATTATAGTCATTAAAAAAGTTATTAAGTCACATTTGTGTCCACCACTTTTTTAAAAGTAATATTAGTAAAAAAAATCTAAATATTACTTTGATTAGACAAGTGTTCATTATGTGGTTGAGAAAAAGAAAATGAAACTTTATGGGCAATAAATCTAATATTCTCTTGGTTTCACAATAACGTTCATATTTTATCTTTTTGGGTCAAAGTTATTAACTTTGATTCATATATATAATATACACACACACATATATATATTGTTGAAATTAATTTATATATTATAAAGTTTATGAGTATATACTTTTAAATACTAACAGCCAAACATCGATATTATAGAACATGAAAGTCAAACTATAAATTTTAATTGTATGATGGAGGTTATAATTTTGGAATTGGAATGGGAGACAACATCTAGATCACATGACACTCTAATCTAATAGATCTCCAATGCAATAGTTGCATGGTGCATATATGGTATGAGAATGACACACACATACACATGAATGAATTTAAATTAATGAAATTTTTTTCTCTTTCTTTACACGACTTTCTATATTTTGAGTTACTTTTTATCAACAATGTCAATCACAATGTCTACATCTAATCCTTATATGGTACAACAATATGATACGAAGTATCTAAATGGTAGTTAAAGTACTCCTCATTTACGATCCCTCAAAATGTGTCAGTGACCACAATAATTAGATGTTCTTTGGCATGGTAATTTCTGAATTTTCATCACATGTTTGGAATTTAATGTTTCCTCTTTGCATGACAAATCTTCTGAATGCCGTGATAATACGGTCATTTCTTCACCATTGGAAATTTATTTCTCAAGTCACTTCTTTATCTTTTGGAATATTATTGGCAATATTAGTATACAAAATCCATGCTTAGCATTACTATATTCGCTAGAGTTTTGCCATTAAGGGTTGAGTTAACTGATTAACTTTTTAAAGAGATTTAGGAATTGCCTTAACCACATTTATTGACGATGTAGGCAATCAAATGACTTTCTTTGCTCTTAATGTGATCGAGGCTATTGGAGTATTGCTCATGTTTAAACCATTTCTTGTTACACCTACTGCAAGCAATTGATTGGCAAAAAAGGATGCATCTCTCTGCAAACTTTACAATCCAAGGCACATTCGATTTCATGGTGTATTTGTTCGTCAAGAATTCGTGTCTACCTTTTTGTTATCTCATTTGAAATGAAGGATCATATTATTTTTCCCGCATCGTCGCATCATTGGCTATGCCAAACGTTAAATAAAAATAGAAAAATAGGAAATTATAATTCTTGAAATCTTCTTTATTTGAAAGGGATGGTCGGGAATCGATGAAACGGTCTTTGAATATCCCAATTAGTGTATACAGTCAAACAATGTTCAATTGGTTATTGTCGCTTGTAACACTCAATTTTCATATGTATTGATCCAAAAGAATTTTGTGTTTGTCTACAATAGAGGACCCAAAGGAGTACCTAAGGGAGTAAGGGGTACGAGGGCAAGCGTCATTGCTTTCATAGTATGAATACTTAAGTTATAAAATAGTGCCTCTTCTATAAGTTATTAACTTATTACGTTGGCGCTTAGATTTGGGTGCCATTGTACGTTGGAAAAGCAAACATTTCATTGTTGTAAACCTAATCCAAAACATCATTTTGATCACAAATTCACAAGTTTAGATTAAAAGATCAATCTTAAATGATACCATTATTTTGGTTATTTTTAATTATTTATACAACTTATAATTGAGTAATGAACATTTTTTATGGATACTCTTTACTCCCTCCATCTCAAAACGAAATTAACTAATTAAGTGACTGACTAGTGTTGGATTCGGGTCGGGCCACCCGGCCCGTGGATCGGCCCGGTTCTCAGGTAGTTAATTAGTATTCCCACTAATTGTTACATTTTTCATTAAAGTAGTTAATTAGTTAATGGAAACTAATAATCCAACCTTTTAGCGGTCTTCTTTTAATAGTCCCACCTTTTCGTTATTTATGAATAATCCAACCTTTGCACCGCATCTTCATTCATTGGTCCCCGACCGGTTGATGACCTGTTATTCCGAGTTATTTTCTCATCTCTGCAAACTATTATACCATAAATTCCACCTTTCCCAAATATAATATTTTGCAAAGATAAGAAAATAACTTGGAATAGCAGGTCATCAACCGGTCAGGGACCAGTGAATGAAGATGAGGTACAAAGGTTGGATTATTCATGAATAACGAAAAGGTGGGACTATTAAAGAAGACCGCTAAAAGGTTGGATTATTAGTTTCCATTTTCTCATTAGTTAATTAGTATTCCCATTAATTGCTACCTTAGTCTCTACTTTAAAAAACTATTCTCTATTTATGGTATTGCATTTATTCTCGATCCTCGTTTTAGACTAGCTAATTTGGAAGATTGTTTCAAATTCTACTATCTTGCTTTTTTTGGTGAATTTCCAATGTATGACGATAACCCCATAGATCCGAAAACAGAATACAACGAGGTTAGTACTTTATTTTATGCCTTATTTAATGAGTTTCATGCACAATATGGCAACGCGCCCCCTCCCTCGACACGAACATCTTCATCTAAAGAAAAATCAATTTTTAAATGAGAAAAATACGTATCTATGAGTATAAGTGATGAGAATTCCCAGAATATGAGTGGGTAAGTTTATTGACCAAAGTATGACCAAGGAAGAGGGCAAACATGGAACACGCATGTTTCGGTCATCCTTAATCGTCTTAAAAACATGGCAAAACTGGAATGGAATGTAAACATTAAAAGGCACGATCATGAACATACATGGCATGTGCCATCATTTAAGGGAAAAAAGAGATACTAGTCAAAAATAGATTAGGAAACATAAAAGGTTTTAATCATAGGTGGGATAAATTTCTCTTTTTAAATCTGCATTTGACAATCTTGTGGAAAAAAAAAACTAAAACAACTCACCCTACTGAACAAAACGCAATAAATGAGATTACTTTGTATTTAATATATGAAGTTGAATTTGAAGAAAATGATGACTTTGACGTTCTAAAGTGGTGGAAGTCAAAAGAAAGAACGTTCCCGATTTTATCACGGATGGCTAAACAAGTGCTATCAATGCCGGTGTCAACAGTTGCCGTGGAACAAGAAGTTAGTTCGGCCAGCAACGTCCTAACGGCATCTAGAACGAGATTGAGCGCAAACTCTCTTGAGACGCTTATATGCTACCACGATTGGTTGAAGGCCGCACGTAGAATTCAAGAAATGAGCATCACCCCCTCCTAAGAGCATCTCCAATGCTAAAACGTTAACGGTGCATACGTGGCATGAGAAATAACCAATTAAAAAACAATAAATCCAATATCTGTCTCCTTCTTTCCACGTTCTTATGTGTTTATGGTAAGTTTTTGTCTGCAATGTCAATCACAATGTCTACATCTTGACATTCTGCTTGACATTGTGAAGAAAAACTTACCAAAATGATGTAAGATTCTTCAAATAATGAGAGAGATATTATATTTATTGTTTTTTAATTGGTTATTTTCCATGCCATGTATGCACCATTAACGTTTTAGCATTGGAGATGCTCTAAGACTTTATGGGTGACTTAACAACTGATGGTGGCTCTACCTATGCCAGAGATTCCGATTGATTAGTATTTTAGAATTTATTATAAAATGTATTTCATGTTTTAATCTTTCCCTCAATTCTCAATTGTAATTTGTAAACTTGTACTTCATATTTCAAATAAATATGCATTCATTTTTTCATATGTAGCACTTCTCAAATTAATTAATTGGTTACAAACTTACAACTTACAATTAATTTTCTAAAGACTCTTTTTAAATTAAAAATAGCTTTACAATATGTAATTTGTTTAAATACACCTATTTTGTAACATTTGTAAATTATAAATCAAACCACTTTTCTAAGTAAAAATAGCTTTACTTAATTCATTAAATTAATTAACTTATTTTACAATAGGTATAATTTTCAAATAAAAAATATTTAAAAAATATTAAAAACAAAAAAGCTCCCAAACGGCTATATAGCCGTTGGGGCTTTGGGTGGGGGCAGGGGGGTCCCGGGGGTGGTGGTATGGGGTTCAAAAAATTCTATAAATACATCTATTTTCTAACATTTTTCTACAACTCTTCTTCATCTTCATCTTCTCTTATTATCCTACATTCCTACTTATACATCTACCATTTTAAAGATGGAAAGTAAGTTTTCCCTTATGCAAAACAATTTTGATATGTGGAAGGACTCGAAGACTGGGCTGTGGTGGACAACTTGCAGGTGGTGCAAGAAAGAGTAGCTTGGGGCGTTCACACTTCACATGGCTACGGGATGCCAACAAAAGATATGAAGTCCCGTGACAAAGGCCAAACAACAGCCAACGGTGTCGGAAATTCCGATTGATCTTTATTAAAAAATGTATTTCATATTGTAATTTTTTCTCAATTCTCAAATGTAGTTCCTATTTCAAATAAATGCACTTGAACTTTGTTTTTAATAAGAATTTGTATAAACTATAAATTAAAAAAAAAAAACATGGCCCGGCCCGGCCCGGCGGGTGGCCCGACCCGTGACCCGGGCGAGTGACCCGCCCCGAACCGGCACCGGCCAGATCTAGCACGGGTCGGTCCCGGGCCTCCTTCAAAAAACCCGAGGCCCGGCCGGGCCTAGGCCCGGCCCGGGTCCATGACTATGACTGACCATTCACGTACCGATAACTTATTTTTTCCTTAATACCTTGATTCTCTTCAAGTTTCACTTCCTTTTTCTTTCCCCTTTAGTTCATGACATACATCAATTAGAGGAGCTTTAGAAGAGGCCTACGGTCAATGGTTAGAGTTTACAAAAAGAATTTATGATCCTGCTTCATCTCAATCTCAATTTGACATAAAGTTTCATGATTCCATATACTTAGCCAAAATTTTGTTGTCTGTTATACACTTATACATGTTCTGTTTTTATACTCTTAGGATTATCATGTTTGATTGTGTTTATTTTTTTTATTAGTGTATTATATGATTTTAAAATCCTCTGCTAAATCCATGTTTCATCGTTGATTTTAAACTATATCATTTAGGTAGAAATTCTGATGATATTTGTAGACAATGTTCTGCTAACTATATCATCGTTGATCATCAGTGTTTTATTAACGGTTTTAGACAATGTTATATAAATGCTTTTATACTTAAAAAGAATAAATAGTAATTGTCCTATATAGGATTAAAATAATAGTGAAATGCAAAAATAGGACCTCTTATGTTTTCTTCCCTTAATAGGACCAATTTGCTCCTATTCTTAAACCTGCGAAAATTACCATCCCAAATCTGCCCCTGCACCCATATAATCTTCTTTCTCTCCTATTTTATTCACAATCGATCGATAACTTCTCCAGCCTCAAAGCAAATCTGCCGATTCCACCACATCTCATCATCTCCCTTTAGATCTGCTGATTTCATCGCATGACGTCGACTACTCCACCACACGGTGCCTCCGCCGCTCCGCTGGCGTCGCTGCCCTTACCTTCGCTTTGGTGCCTTCGCCCTCCACCATCGCTCTGTTTATGTATCTCCGAATTCTCAGGTTTTTTCACTTTCTTCTTCTGGCCAGGTTTCTTCTTCTTCCTCTTTCTTTTCTTCTTCCTCTTCCTTCTCCTCCTCTTCCTCCAACTATTCGAATTTTTGGCTTTAAAGTTGATTTTTCTGAATTTTCCTTCATTCCTCTATTTTTTTTTTTAGTTTTGACATTATTTGATTTGTTGATGTTTGGACTTCTATTTCAATTTTCCGTTTCCTGATTTCTTGATTCTTTAAAAAAATCAACTTTCTAGATTTTGAATGATGGAAGACGATTTTGCCATGTTTATGGCAGATTTTTGGATGATGGCGTATGATTTTGCCAAGTTTTTGGCAAAAATGTACTTGACAAGCATATTATGGCAAAACACTCTCTGTAAATCGATTTTTAAATTTTTTGACATTCACTTCTTATTTCTTATTGAGATGAATTATTTAAAGTTATTGTTCTATTAAATTTTTGGTTTTCCGAAAATTTTGTTGTGGACTTTATATTTTGCCAAGATTATGGCAGTTTTGTATAAATTCGTCAAGATAAATCTGCCTTCTTTATGGCAAATCTGAAAATTTGTTTTGAAGGCAGATTTGAAAGTAATCTTCAAGGCCAAATCTTCCAACTTAATGCCATATTTTCGGTGCCGATGACGGAAGCGGCAGGTGGCACCGGTGACGGCGGTGGCAGGTGGAGGCGATGATGTCGGCAGGCGGCGGCGGTGACGGAGACTGCATGTGACATGGGTGGTTGAACTGTTACGGTTGGAGATGATGATGACCTGCAGTTGGAGACATGGACTTTTATTTTAATTAGAAATCTAAATAAAAACTTATTAGGGGCATTTATGTACAAATAGGGGCTTTTAAGTCCTACGAAACATGCATATGATTTTTGGTCCTATTTGTGCAATTAACTTTGTTATTAGTCCTATTTGAGTCATTAACTCAAGAATAAAACCTCACACATTTGTCTCATTTTGCTAGAAAGCAATCTTATCAACGATTGGACCAAATACGGGGATGGTGCATGGAATACACACGAAGAAACCCGACGAAAAAAGGTCAACCAAATGTATCCCAAAGAACAAACGAAGTCAAGGAAAACACACAAATAAAGTAAAAGCCGCTTGGCCTTTACATAAGCCGTCCGGATTTCACATGTTAGGCTTGTGTATGTTGTCTAACACTAAAGAAAAGCATCAGGAGCTCAAGAAGGCGAAAGCCGCCCGGCTTTCGTGGAAACAGGCAGACATTCACGACCGTAGTTTTATTCTAAAAAATAATTCCAAAAGCCGTCTGGCTTTCGCCCCCTGGAGCGAAGACCAGAATAAATTAAAACACGAAAGCCGTCCGGCTTTCATAGAAGCCGCCCGACTTTTCCAATTTTCATATTGAAATAGTCAACGGTCATCACTCATCACAATCATTCGGAGAAAGCACCAGAAGTTATTAAGAAGCTTGTCTTCTTGTCCGAAAATGGCCATTGAAGACCTCTTGTTTAAGAGTTTTGAAGCCCTTCCATAAAGATATCCCATATTCTACACATTTTACTTCCATGTATTCATCCCAAGAACACCCCCTTAATCTTGGGAGGAGTCCTTCATTTGGGGAAGCAATTGTCCACCATAGCTTTGGAGTTGTGGGACCATTTTCTTATGTATTCCATTCAATTTAAGCATTTCAATACTTGTAATTTCAATTCATTATGAATTGTAGTAGCTAATTTTCCATAGCCAAGGTTAGGAATGAAACTTTACACACTCTAGGTGTTTGATGTATGTTTTCAACCAAATTATTTCCTTTATATTTTAATGTGTATGACTACGGTGTACAGCGTATGATTATATGTTGGGTTTATTTGAGAAATTAACGTTGGATTATAAACCGTGCACTAACAGGTTTAGACATATGCATATTACGGATAGAAATATACCCATTTGATTTTTATAATGTCCTAATCATTGGTAGAGAAAGAGACATGAAAAGAGAGAATCTCGTTGGTAGTGTTGCTTCCCTTCAACACCGCCTAATCGATGGAGTTTCCCGCTGCCATTCATTTGCTTCACTGGTAGCCTGGACCATTTGCTACGAGAATCACTTAATGAGGAGAATCAGGGTATGGCTAGGGTTCTAAGTGTTTGAGAATCGCTAGATCTGTGACCGAATGACAAGGGCAAGGGTTAAATGATGGGAGTACGTATGACTCTGTATATTTGTAAGCGTCACTATCATATATATACTCATACTATTATGTTAAAAATGGTGACATATTAAGTGTCGTTAAAACTATAGCGATGTTATAATGTCACTAAAGAAATGTTAATCTAAGACAGTTTTCTAGTAGTGAGAAATCAATATTCCTACAATATACTGATTTCATGATTTTGTCATACCTACACCAACGTTGTTCATTCCATCATTCATATGTTCTTCTCACCAACAACTTTACATGTTCCTCCATCAAATTTGATGTATCATATCACACTCCACTTTTAGATATAGCTCATAGCGTCTCAAACTCAACAAACATTATAATCAAAGGTTTATTTTGAAAAATTGTCCAATTAATATCATTTTGAATATATAATTAAAGCATTGAGATCTATATGGACCAACAACATAAATACTATAGTCTGCCTTGTGTACAACACTGTAATGATGGTTATTGTTTGCATAAGTATTGAAAATAACTACCTTATTAGTGGTTTTGTTCATATGTTTGTACTTTTCTCAATTCCGGGTTGGTCATTTGTGTTCACGCTTCACTGTCTGTGTGATGACTATCATTGGAAAATTTTCATCATAATTTTTTCTCGATCTTTTTACATCAAGTCTAAATAGAAAAGAGTATTTTACCCATCAAAGTGTCATAATGTTCATGGCCTCACAGGGAATACAATACAAAAGTCATAGTATTAACATATCAAAATAAAGTAACCTCAATAGTTGCCCATCAAAATGTCATAATATTCACATGAAAAATAATGTCTAATTTTATTAAAATAAGGAAACTGTAATTTTATTTCAAGAAACTAAAATAGTTATAAACAGAAATATAAGCAAGTTGAGAGATTGTCTCAAAAGAAACTCCTTTATTTCCAAAGCATCAAACTTTTGATGTTAAGAGTGAATGACGAACTGAGTGATGAACACAAATTCAGTCAATGGCTCTAAAATAACTCTCTTAAATTGTGGAACACCCACTAAGAGTGTTTTCTTCACTTAAGAAACAAGAAGCAGAAAACCAATAATCAAACAAAAACAATACGGAGTAATTTAAAGAGCAATTATGCATTTGAGACATGGTAACTAAATGGCTAAACGTGATTGCTTGTGAGCCCATGCCTAGATGAAAAGGGCAGCTTACATTTCATTTTCAATAAGCAGTTATATCAAGCTATTATACAATATTGAGCAATGCAACTATATTAACTCTCCCCTAATCCGTTAACATGATATCATAATCTTATATAGTCCGTTTGGAAATCAAGAAATGCAAGGGAAAGGAAATATAGAATAACTAAAGGCAAAATTTGGAAGAAAAGGAAATGTGGGGGAAATTACAAATTTCATTGAAACTCGATATTGATTTTATATTTGTTTAAACTCTCCTTAATTTATTTCTATAATTTGTTAAAAAACATCCTAAACATATGTAAAAAGAATTAAAAACATTACCCCTAACATATTTTACCATATTTTAATCTCCCCTAATCCTTTAACATGAAAATCTAGCCTCTCTTCTCTATCAAACAGGGATTGATATTTTCAAATCTACACGGTGGGCTTTAACTTATGCACCATCATTCTTGTTAGACTTTGCCATCATATTACTAAGAGCATCATTAATGGGACATTGTTAACATCCTATAAATGTTGACACATGGCCATTAAAAGGGATTACATTTTTTAATGTGAACACCTTTTGATTGAAGATGCGCTAAATTGTACACTCTACTGTAGTAAAGTGTAACTGAATTCTCGAAATATTCTTTTTAGTAAGTCGATCTTCTTGTAAATTACATATTTTTGGTATGTTTAATACTATACGGAATACTACAAACATTGTTTAACAATATATTGCTATTTAAGATAATAGAGTGATTTGATAGAAATTTATTTATCAAATGACAACAACATCTAAACTTTAATTCCAAAAAAATTCGAGAGCGACTGTTGTCAAACGAAGAAATTAATTAAGGACATCTAAAAAGTAAAAAAAAAATTAAGGACGGAGTGCTATTCTTACACATAATAATTTATTTAAAAAGGCATGTTATTACTACCTTCGTCCTTATTTGATGGTCTTAGTTCATATTTATTTCATCAACACAAATCACTCTTACAGTCTTAATCACTTACTTTATATCAAAATTTTATCAAAATTGATTCAGGTTTTTGCGACTTTGTAAAATTTTTAGTATAGTTTCTGAATATGTAAATTCTATTTGCTACAAAAAAATTAAGTGCAGACAGAGATTCGCTTGCTTTATCGTCGGTCAAGCCTCGTAAACCGCAACAGGACCATCAAATTGGGATGGAGGGAGTATTATTTATGTTTAATTATATGTAATAATAAAATTCCACTTATTAGTTATTACCACGTAAATCCTCGATGAATGCGAGAATATAGGGATATTAATGACAATTAGTGCAATAAATGAACTAGGGGTGGGCGAATCGGTTTACGGTTCGGTTTTTATCGGTTTCGGTTCGGTTTCGGTTTATTCGGTTTGAGGAAAATAGTACCAAACTCAAACCAAAAGAATTTCGGTTTGGTTTCGGTTCGGTTTGGGAAAAATTCGGTTCGGTTCGGTTTGGTGTTCGGTTTGATGTTCGGTTTATAAACTTGAAAATGATTATGTCTTGTTTCATATGTTACAATCCACTTTGAGTAAAGAGTAATTTTGAATGTTTTGTTTTCATTGAAATTCCAACTAAATGAAATACTAGAACCAGCCTTCATCAAACCAATTGAACAACCTGCCTTCACCTGCTTAAACAACCTGCCAATTGAAATTCCAACTAAATGAAATACTAGAACCTAGCTTAAACAACCTGCCTTCACCTGCTAAACCAATTGAAACAAACTAAACCATAGACTCACACAGAAATAGAAATAGAAATATAAATACAATTTGCTATTGATATCGCCAACCATAATAAATACAAATATGTCGTATTAGCTAACTTTGTCATAATGAATGTTTGAAATGTGTAAAAGTTAAAATAATACGAGTATATGCTTAAATATGCATTTTCATGTCTAAATTTTTTATTTATATCTTAAAATGAAGAGTGAAGATAAATACAAAGTGTGTGTGTGTGTGTGTTGTTCGGTTCGGTTCGGTTTTGTTCGGTTTTGTTCGGTTTTTATCGGTTTCGGTTCGGTTCGGTTCGGTTTAATACGGTTTGAAAGAAATAGTACCAAACTAAAACCAAATTGCATACGGTTCGGTTTCGGTTCGGTTTAGTTCGGTTTGGTACGGTTCGGTTCGGTTAAACCAAACCGTTATGCCCACCCCTAAAATGAACCCAAGGCTTCAATTAATGATGATAATGATACGAGAGCTAGGGAGGACGCACTGCTCAACACACGCGCCTACCCGCGCACGTCTTCTGCTGGAATGTCACGTGACCTTTGACGTCCTTAAACCTCCCAATTAATTGTCTCTTTCACCCCCCACGTCTCCATCAAATCAATCCGTTGTTTCATTATACTCCGTACAATAGCATATACTGTGCACCGCGACCCACCGTATCAGGCCCACCTAAAAGTCATTTCTTTTCCTTTTTATTTGGACAGTCCTATACAGAAATGCAGAAGAGAAGAGGGAAATCGTAGTGGCAGAAGCAACAGTTTAGGGTTTCTTCCGCCTCACTGAAGCCTGCACAGAGTTGGAGAAAAGCTTAGGGAGAAATTAAAGGAAGGGTAGTTTTCTTCCTCTTCCATCAGCTTTTTACTACAGCTAATAAGTGTGTTTATGCATGGAAAAATATATATACAAGTATATGGCAATGGCATGAGCCTTTATTGTTTATTTATCTCACTTTTATGTTTATTCATGCGCAATATTTATTGTGATTATTCCCCATTTATGCAGCTTGGGCAGGTGGGCTTTTCATGGTCATTATTTTTATCAGATCTATCCTTTTTCTAGCTCTTTATCTTCTGCAGCTATGTATATATAGCTTTTCCAATGTCTTTGGGGCTTGTGTCTGTTCATCTTCTTTTCACCCTGTTATCGGTTTTCATACACGAACATAACTACACATAATGTATGTTTATTATATACTCCTAAGTCCTAATATGTGATTTTTGTTACATATTTTTGTGATATATATACGTAGTATGTGTGTGTGCGGTTTTATTTCAAAAAAAAAAATGTGTGTGTACGGTGTTTGGGTTCATTCTATATTGGAATATAGATACATATAATAAAAGTTACTGTGAGAAAAGCTGTGTATGCATATATGCGGAATGTGTGGGTTTTTCTTCTTTGGGTAAAATAATGGGTTTTGGGTCGTAGCAAGATGAAGTCTTTTTCCTCTTTTGGTACTCTTTATCACATAGTGTATGTATATGTATATTGTACAGGGTTATTATGTATGGCCGGGTAATTAATTAATCTTTTTACCCGTTGGGTATTAGGAAGTAGTGTTTGGGTGTATATTTAGGGTAATTATAGACCGGAGAGTAATGGTCTTTTTCTTCTCAATATATGTATTCCTTTTATGGATCTGTAATATGGGGGTTTCCTTAGCGTGATATTTTTGTCTTCTTGGGTAAACGAAGGAATGGTTTATGAACTACTCCATTTTTGTGTTTATTCAAGAGCTGCGGTTT